GATGTTTGTAACTCGATGTTTGTAACTCGAACAATTCAACATCTTTAAACGCATTGACTTCCCCACTATTTTAACATGTACACAGAATATGTTCATAAAAACAGCATATATTATGTTTGTCATTTGATAAATTAGCGTTTTTATGATCAACATTCATTTCACACCCAATGACCGCAACGGGTATAGTCTCGTAAAAGAAGATAGTAGCTAATAAGTTTGCAAAGTAACAAAATATTCTACGTATCACTTCGTTCTGAATTTAAACGCAGAAAAGTTATAGAATGTTTGTTTTTAAATAAGTGCAATTTCTTCATCAAGAAACAATCCAAACACGTCACGTATTGGAGATAACGACTAATGGGTCTCCGGTGAAAAAAATAGTTTCCAGTCACTCAGATATCTGTTTTATCAAGAGTTAAAATAACCAACACTTTCAATGTATCTACTGCAAAAGACTCTGTCATTGAGTATGGCTGCAGGCAGGCATTCTAGCATTCACACTAACGGAGTGAGACAGGCTCATCTATTCTGGAATGTTACAACCGGCGATCTTTGACCCGCTGTCCCATGACGCCACGAAAGTATTGCATCGTAAATCAGAGTGAAACGGAAGGTGACGTCGATTACTCAATAAAACATTAGATTTTCTATTATAAGCTTTTGTTCTATGTCCAATACATGCGGTTCAATTTTGGGAATGAAAAAGAACGGAACAATCAAGGGAAAATGAAATGATATCTCTTATGAATCTCGGATCATGTACTCGAAAATACGAAGCGACTCTTGGGGACACGGGAAACCAATTAAATGCATCCTCGGAAATATAACCCGCCGCGATAAGCTAATTTACCGGAGCGTTGAGACTTACAACCAATCATGGTTGTTAAGGTAACCGGGTTTGATAGAAACGTTCAACGCCAGGGAATACGGAGAACGAAATTCAAGATGATTACTATCTCTTGAGCGGGAAAATTAAGTGATGTTATTAAAAATTGTAAACCTGACCTGTTGTGAATTCTCTATTGGCAGGTATATCAATGCACATTCTTGGAAAAGCAGATGTGCATTGGACAGAAGAGGAAAACCGTGGGAAACAAAAGATCGTGTTATATTATTCCTCGTTTGAGACTTACGTCGATGAGCGTAAAGTTGTGTGGGGAGAAGGTAAGTTGTTAAAAACAACATAAATGACGGGCTTTGATATTTAGCGTACAAAATATCTCAACTTGTTATTAATGCCAACGGTCTCATCCAAGTTACGAATGCGAATTGCGAAATTAAAACTATGGTAACAAACATAATTTGAAGTCATGTCATCCTGGGCCACTGAAAATTTCCCTCAGCAACATATAATGGAGGATCGCTAAATTGGGGTTTTGAAATACCTAAGAATATATGAAACGGAATTTTTTTATTTTCATCGCACAATCGCAAAATCTACATGCATTCTCCGTCATATATCTTGCGAAAATAATTCATTTCCCATACACCCTTTCGTGCAAGGTGCTCTACATGTAGAGGCCGCCATATTGGAAATCAACTTGTTAAAGGAAACCTGATTGGTCGATAACTTTGCTATCGCAATCAGATACGACCTCTAACATGCATGCTTGTGTAGGGAGGAATGAAAGGACTCGAAACCATGCGAGCGGACGATGCGATTTTACGACTGTCTGGTTTAGTGAGTAATTGAAAAGAGGAGATGTGCGTTCGCTACACAAAGTTGCTTAGGCGAGACCAAGTTACAAAACATGTATAGGAAAAATAATCATAATTAGAATTACATAATATCAAAATAATATTTTGTTAATACTCAAAAAGCATTAATAATAAATTGACAGTTTATTTTTTAATCTGTGGCGCAATGATTTTGTTTTGTTTGAGATCGCCACAGCTTTGCTCGTCAATCACCGTGACTTCACCGAGATCCGATTTGGCGTGCAAGCGACGGCGATATGTTTGGTTGCTAGATACGTCGTAAGTTTTGCGATCGCTTTCTGTTTTCAACTGAACTCATTAGCCCCCATTTATGAATCGAATTACATATTTTCATATTTCAAAAAATAAACACAGACAGAGACACATTTTCAATTCGACTAATGACTGCGCTAATTTCATTTGCTTGAAATTGCTATAAACACCCTCTTTCTATGATGTATTTGGAAATTAACAATAATATTCGATAATAATATTTACAACGACGACTCCAGTCATCGTGTTCATATATATTAGTTGCAACGCCCTATAAACATTAAATACAGCGCGATCGCCAAAAACCTAAAAGAACTGTTTCCTTGCAATACTTGCGTCATGATTATTGTAATTCTCACGGTGTGTTTTAAGTGAAAATCCTCAACTGAGAACAATCATTGACGACTGTTTCCGCAGATTTATTTAAATTTAAGTTGGTCGGCGATCTTTGTCGGACTGATGAAAACATCTTCACAATGTAATGATAAATGGGATTGTGTTATAACTGTATCTTCAATGATAGGAGGATATAATTGAAATTACTGCAATAACTATGTAATCCCATTAGAGTGCCACACGTGTTGAATTAAATACCTCGCACTATGCAAAAACACGACAGAACTTATTATTTTCATTGGCAAATCCGTGAAATTAAATCCCCAGTAAAAATGAATCCCAAAGAAAATATCACACACTTTGAGAACTAAATACTGCTATGTATGGTAACCTGCCCGTTCATCCCCTACTGTAACAGCGCATGCGTAATAATACAGATGATCAGATTCTCTTGTCTGGTGTTATTTTACGTTGTTATTCACAAAACCCACATAAACATTATGTCGCCACCGACCCGTTTTCAGAGAACACGGGTTAAAAACATACACGTGGTAATTTTAAGTTTAGTCATCCATTTGATTTCATCATCTCTCAAAATGCTTTGTGGTTGCATATCATATGCTGTAATATGGTGGGTACTTGTTATTTGTTGTTCAGAAACCGAATTCTGATTTTTTTTATGAAATAATGTTATGACATAGATTCCTCTGGAAATTGTTTAAAAAAAGGTAAAATTTTTTTTCTCAAAAAATATCTTTCCAGCATTATATGTGTCCTAGTCAACTTGATTAAATGTGACACTTTTGAAATAACAAATTATGAAAACAGTTTCGCCTATATTCAAATGTTTGCGAACGACCCAGTTGCGAGGTTCATATGTATGCTGTAACTGTGTATTTCTTTTCTATTCTGTGTATGCTTTCTATTTAGATGTCCGGAGTGACCCGACGTCAGCCGATGTTATGCTAAGATTACCGACAGGAGTGCACCGATTTCCTTTCTCGTTCACACTGCCCGCAAAACCACTTCCTTGTTCTTTTGAAGGAGAGCTTGGAAATATCCGATATTATTGCAAAGCTGTCATGGAAAGGCCTTGGAAATTTAGTCACACGACTAAGAAAATATTTACTGTAACTGGTGTGCCATACGACCTAAATAAAGAACACCATGCACTTGTAAGTTCCCGTCATGCACTGCCACCAATAACTTAATTACACCGTAGGGCGGCAGCATCTGATTCAGGATTAGAGGAATCAGAAAGCGGCATTTAGCAACAATTTTCATTTCAGTTGGTGTTGAAGCTGTATTGTCGGCAAACTTTACCTGGATTCTTTCCAATTTGGAGTATCTGGGCCAAAAATTAAATCTGAAATTTACAGCGTTCGTGAGTTGTACCAGTTGAAACCTGAAACATGGCGCCGTTTTTCGACCAAGTTATGTACTTGTCTTCACTATACTAGTAATTGATTTCATGCACCCTGTTCGAATTCTGCTTCGGGAGCTGGCTAATCACAACTACCCTAGAAAGTACGTAATGTTCGACGCAGCGGTGGGTAGAGTACTAATGAGTAAAATACCTAAGATACTAGTAGTTCTATAGGTCGTCGCACTGTGGCGCCAACTTAAACCAGTAGGCGAAGGTCTGATAAAAATGTCGCCCACTAATCAGCATCAGCTCGCGGTCTGTTGTGACAACATTGCCAGATATTTCATTAACTGGATCGTATACATGTATATTTAATTGTACCAAGTTTGTCTTAAACTGGCGGTGTTCTAGGTGGGACTCGTATTGATATGTTTTTTGGTCACGGCATGGTAACCGTGTATATCAGTGAAATCGAAGTGTCCACAAATCAGAATATTCGACAAGTTGATTTACAATTTAAGCTTCGGGTATTCACAGCAAAAATCTGATTGGCCGAAACTCACCAAATCGAGCCAGCTGTGTCTAAATTAGGTGAGTCGTGGTCACTTGACAGTGGTGGGGCATAAACCACTCGCGCCTCGCCCTTAGGACATATAATGCTGTAACGGTCACGTGATTATGATTTAACTCGTGTCAGCAGCAGCACTGACACCGCTTTTACACCTTCGTCATTCACCAGTCTTCCGGCCGCGCACGCGTACGATCGAGCACAGCACGTGAACAAGTGCGACCGTCGAGTATAAATTCAAAAGGGGGGTTGTAGCTATACGGGAAATAACTCCGGAGTCCGGTGCGCATGAAAAATGCTTCGCATCCAATGTAGATTTTGTAATACGCCCATCTTCGATCGTCGAACAAAGATTTCTTTGTGCTATTCGGTGACTTGATAATCTCATTGCAAGTTGCTGAAAACTCAAATCCACGTAACTGCTTGTTGATGTTCAGCTATTGACAAGGCGGATATCTTGAGGATACCGTAGCCGTTAGAGTACATATATTACTCGAAATGTGAAAAAGCTTTGAAAAGAAAATTGCCTGCATTACAACTTTGATAGAGTGTGAAGCAAACCACTGTTGCTATGCCTACTAGTAGAACAATCCATAGACCATATCGCAATTCCGAATCATATTGAATTGTGGGAACGTTAATTTTACGAATGTTACTTTTTACGTTATTTATTACTGATTTGCGAAGTAGATCACGGGGCACAGGTCCCATCAGCGCCATATTCGACTTTTCTATACTTTTCCCATCTTTTCATAATCTTATAAAGAAAGAAACTTCCTAAAAGGGGTTATGACACGTGCATTTAACAGATAAATCGACTTTAGACCCCCCCAAAATTATCAAAAATAAGAGCCGACATTCGTGATAATTATGTTACATTGTAGAATCACCTTTATAATTAATGAGCATTTATTTATTTCTAGACTCCGATTCGCGCCGAGGACCAAAAAACCGTATGTTGCTTGTGTTGTGCAACAGGACCAATCTCATTGAGTGTAAATACTGACAGAAAAGCCTACGTCCCCGGTGAAAATGTGTCCATATCGGCGCTCCTGGAAAACAAAAGTCACAGACGAATTCACGACACACAAGCTGAACTAATACAGGTAAATTTCACGAAACGAGTACGCATGCTAGGGTCGATCCCTATTACCGCGGACGGAGTAGACTTATGTGTATCCGGAATAAGATATTGTGTTCATTGTTCCACGGGCAATGATAATTGTTAGATATAAGGGGTTGGCCAGCAGAGAGGGCCTGAATAAATTATTTTTTCTGGCAAACAACAGTTACTTGGTAGTGGACCAATGCTTTGTTTACAAAGAATTGCGTACATAGACAACTGAAAGGCATGTTATTCAGGTTCTTATTTGATTTTTGCCTAACCACCTAATATAATCAATGACCCGACCCTGAGTATCACTTTATGGGACGTTAGATGTAACGAGTATGACATGCTCTGCGTTTCTAATAACTGACAGAATGTATTTTCTTTCTAAAGTCTGTGACGTACATCGCATATCGCGGCGGCCACTATGGAGTACGCCACTGTCGTACGCTTTCACATGTTGTGACGTCGATAAAGAGCGCAGGCTGCGATGGGCATGGCACTATAGAATGGAACAATAAGAAATTAAAGATACCCCCTATCCCACCGACTGGATTACATGGTTGTTACTTTATAAATGCCAATTACTGTATCAAGGTGAGTTTTTGCTGTAGGTCCATTCAAGTTGCCAATGACTCTCTGACCGCACGTTGGCTGCGTGGTGGAATAGTAAGAAGATCAAAAAGGACAAAATTGGTCTCAAATCTCCAAATTATTGGTTAAAAATATAGACTTTTGGTATATTCATTTACAGTTTCCGGTGATTATTGTATACCTTCAATCACCATTTTTTTTTTTTTTTTGAAATGCTTCTAAATACTGTGCAACTTTAATATTCCTGTGACTCAATTGGAGCTATCCGTCAAAAATTACCACAGTCTGAGAGTTTAAAATTGCACTCTGAGTTCATTCCTAAATCGTTGTCGGAGTTTTGGCACTCCTATGCGAAATATGTAATCGTATGAATATGCGAGAATTGTCATCATTACCAATTTACTGCGACGTGCGGCAATATCTACGAAACTTGAACAGAGACGAATGTTTGTGAATCTACGAGCAAACAATCAAACACGAAGCCGAAACCATCGTCAACAATCAGACGCCAACAATCAATTTATAAAAAAAATGGCGATTTAGTCTTTTCATAGTCGGGTATATTGCATACTTGTAGCAATTTCCACACATTCAAACCATCGCTTATTTCACATATTTTCAAAAAACAGCAATAAAACTTTCAGAAAAAACGTGGAAAATGTGAAATACGACGCCTATTTAATGATAATTTGCAAATAACCTGTTAAATATGACACAACGTAACGACTTATTAAAAGCATTCATGTTGTTCAACTACAGTACTATTAAAACCTATTACCAAGTTTGTAGTAGAAATCGGCATGTTTTTCAGACATCCCCCGTTATAAAACTAATTCACCAAAAAATCACTATGTATACCTATTTTACTGCACCGGTGTTAATCGTTTTCACAAATAATTAAGAGTAAATTAATATTTTAACCTTTTTCATACAGTTTTGAATCATTTTGGAGATAAATATGCAACTCCGTAATAAAGCATTTCACCATAAAACGGACATCCCTGGTCGCGTAAATTTACCGTGACATCTTTTTAGCCCAAAATAAGTGCGAATGATTTTCCACCATTCGGCACGTTTGTTGGTTAACGTCTCCCAGCACACCAAGAAACAAAAACACGACAATTACTGGTTCATTTCTCCAATTATACATATTTGAAACTGTATGATTTGTCAGTATGGTAGGCAATAGGGGGTCCAGAAAGCAGGCCAATTTTTACCCCACTTAATTGGTAATTTGACGCGTAACACGGAAACGATAACAAAAATATAATCCCGAAATGTTTGACTTTTAATCTTGAAATATCGACTTTAACATCCGTACACGTAGCATATATCACCTACAACCAGACATCGCATGACATCATGCTGACGTCATTAATGTTTGTAACTGAATAAAACACATGTTATTTTTCCACGCATATAGTTCACAGCTGACGTGGTCGCTACGCCGTTCGACATGGATTTAATGTTAAACATCGTAATCGGGACGGTACCATTGCACTGTCTCTATCAGAAGTCACACGCAGCGGAGGCATTCCCACGAAAAGGTAAGCAGACACAATGTAGAGCCGGCCGATATCAGTAGTAGCCGTTCCTGATTGTTGTACTGCCCTCTACGGTATATGTTATTGCTGGAATATGATATCCTCGGGGGCGGACATCCGGGCATTTTCACCGCCTGGCAACCGGAGGCGGTGAAAACAAAGGCCCAAAACTCGCAGAAAACGGTATTTTGGGATGATTGTTGAGACTCCTCTGAACAGCGTAACAAGATTAGCCTTACGTGTGTAACATATATAAATTTGGTTGTTCGGGATTACTTCAAAGTTGAGTTTGTGTTGTTTTCTTGAATTTTCACCAGCTCGACCGGCGTTCCACAGCAGCGCGCACAGAGCCCATAGAAATGCATGTACAGTGGTGCGCGTCGTAGCAACGTGGAACGTCTTGTGACGTAGCTCCGCCCCCGAGGATAGGCAATCAGTCACAGTAGCACTGAGCCAAAAGACTGGAACCGTTGACGTCACGTGCAGACTACATATTTACAGAATTTTGGAAAGTTATGGAAATGATACATAAAACACAGTCACTGTATATATTATAGAGTGACTGTGGCCCAATCCCTGTGCTGTGTCCTCGGTCCTCGACAAAGGATGTCTATGACGGAGCTACCATAATTCTGCTTTTGACCTTTTTTTATTTTTCATTCTAGATTCACTACCGGTTCCTTTATATAAACATGTATTCAGTGGTTCGTCAGAAATACACGAAAAGGATGAAGACGAGTACATGTTCGGGGATAAATATTACTCACCAGTTTACACTTATTATAATTGGCCGATTGACAAATGAGACAACACGTCGTCACACTCTCCTATTCCACGTGATTTGGTGTTTCTTTTTACCCCTCTACCCAGAAAAGTCGCATTCATTACGCATGCACTGCTTCACCGGAAACGAGGAGCACTGTGGGGGAAGATAGAAGAATGGCAGCCATTTTTTTTGAATTACTGGAGGAAACGAAAGACATAATTCGTGTATCATTCACAGGACTTGTGCTCTGCCACAAGGAATTGTGGGAAACATTTATGTGCCTGTTTTACCAATAACTGTACGATTACAGGTGGCGTGTTGTTCAGCGCTAAATTCCACGCGTTTCCAATGCTGGAAGCCAGTGTCACAGTCATCGTGGATACTTTTCACTCTGCCGCAAGGAATGCCGGGAATAATCTCATAATCTCTGGCTGTGCACACTGCAAAAATCGAATCTCACAGACTAACCTTGCTATTTCATGTGTCTTATGCACTCACCACTTTAATTATTTCCTTCAAATTCTATATGGTTTAGTGCACCAGTATGTACCCCCCCCCCCCCGTAATTTGCTATCATATTCGTTTCAGTTTTGGACCAAGTAGTATATCACCGGCGCTACTTACATCCCTTGACAAAAATTTGTGAGGAATTATATCGGTTTGTAAAGCGTCCAAGGTCAAAGTTGACGATAACTATAACAATTAATCATCACTCTCATTACCAAACTCTAATTTAGGATTTTCAGATCATCATTTTTTTTTTAATTTCCTCTGCTGATGATAAACGACAGTGCCATAGGCAAAATAAATTGGATTAGCCAAGCGACACTGTCATAATTACATTTCTATATTCAAATACTGAATCTATTATACTCATAAATATTAATGCGTGTATAACATAAAACAATCCAAAGGTGTCAATCAACAGCCAAATATTATATGTCTTCCACATATCGACGATTGTATAAAATTTCTTCTTTATTCCGGTTTAGAAAGGGCGTCCTTCATAAGCGCCGAGGCGTTCACGTCTGCTTGTTCAACCGTTCAGTATGAGACCTTGTCAGACTACACTGGAATGTAACCGAATATGGTACTTTAAACAAATGTGACATTTTTTTGTGTGGTAGTACAGTATATCAAGCATGGCGGCGAGATTTCCAAAATGTGTATGTTTAGTAGTCAGACTGCCAGATAACAGCTTATGTATCCCATCATTCCTTTAGTTTTCAAATCTATGACTCGAACTTCCGGTGGTGTATTTTTACTGTAGTTTTATCGATTATAGCATCTGACACGGGGCGAAATTAACTTTCGTATATATTTTTAAATCCCGGCAAGTTTAGAATTTGGCAATTTGCCAATGCGTTATGTTAACGTCACATGTAGAGCATACACCGTAGATGGAAAAATACTGTGTTTGAATGAGTGAATAAACGAAATACCCCGTCGATTCTGTCAAAGTCTAGTCGATTATAAGTATGATATAGGAGAAGACGACTATCTGTCGTTATGTTTTTAATATGTAGAGTATACACTTGATAGATATGAGAATAAAATGATGTATATGAAGCTATGGATCGTTTCGTTTTTACTAGTACGATCACGTATGCCTTTAGAGTGCACTGAGGTAACCGGTTGCGTAATGGAATGTAAGACAGGTTACCCCGTCGGGGCTGTTTATCAATATCGTTCACGTTTATTCGCATTAAAGGGCGGTAGTCGTCGCGCTGTGCATGCGCGACACTTGTGTTGATAAACACTGGTTTTCCCACAATCCAATGCGCTCTTCTGATGGAAATCACAAGTATGAGGTTTGACCTGGGCGCGACTTGCACTAATTACCGCCGGCGACTCCTTCGATACGCAAAAATACTAATTGAAGCTTGATAACGTCTCATTTTGTACTCGTTGATCTGTGTTTATATGAGACCCATATATCTCGCGCATGCGTGGCGCGACGACTACCGCCCTTTAATTGATAACTGGTAGCGACGTCTCTAGAACGGGGAGAAGTCGAAATCGTGGGAACAATCATAATGTTATTACTTCACACTCTTCACTGTGACCATCATTGGTGATTACGTCGCGTAGTCGTCGTTTCTCTCCCCTTATAGGTATTATCGGTAGCACTGTGATATAGACGCAAATGGTTTCTTGCACGTGTATAGAATATATTGATGCAGCGTTAGTTTATTTCAGCGTGACCTGTACTAACAGTGAGTTGACTTGCCAAAAGATAAGACCTCATACCAGTGCATTAAATATACTGTATACACTACTCAGATTCAGTTCCATTATCTAATCGATTATTTTATTGATACGATACAAAAGTAAAAAGTAAAACGAGTGTACGCATACGGTTAGCTCAAAAGATAGCGGTGCACCGTGCATAAAAACTCTCATTGACTGACTGAGCAATAACCCAGCGATACGAAACTACATTTCGCCGCGACCGCCAATTGATACAAGTCAATGCTAATCACTCGGACTGGAGTTGAGCCAAGTGATCAGGCCGGCTTCACCGTGATATCGCCATGGTTATATATTCTCCTCAATCATGTTGTCGATTATTTTAGTACGTTGCGATGCTGTGCGTGATTTTTCGAGCATTTGAGGATAATGTATTCAAACACCTTTAATTTACATCAATTTATTCCCATTATAAAATTATTTCCGAGTCGATTAAACGTAAGTGATACTATTCTATGATTAACGTAATTGCTATTCACTGTCACCAAGCCTAATATTTATCAAGTTTATTGATCATATTGATTTGTTTCATATTGGAGATGATAGTGTTTTCTGATTAATTTAACCAAAATAATAGAAAGCGCTCTTTTAACACAGCGTGAAATATCACAGTTTTCAACTTTTCTCATTATCGTACTAGTGCAGTAAGACCCAGGCTTCTTCTTCATTTCGATCATCAGTTACCTTATCAATGTTTTTGTTTTAAAAATAAAAAAAGCATCATCAGCATACATAGGGCAACCGTTATACATCCATGCTTAAAGGGCGGTAGTCGCCGCGCCACGCATGCGCGAGATATATGAGTCCCATATAAACAAAGATGGCGACTTTGGCTGCTGCGTAGATCAACGAGTACAAAGTGAGACGTTACCAAGCTTTTATGGGGTATTTTTGAGGTGTTTGGAAAGTATCGAAGGAGTGACCGGTGGTAACTAGTGCAAGTCGCGCCCATGTAAAATCTCATACTAGTTATTCCCATTATAAGAGCGCATTCAGTTATGGGCCCGGGAAAATCAATCTTTATCAACACAAATGTCGCACATGCGCAGCGCGACGACCACCGCCCTTTAAATATTATTGTTTTACATTAACATCCAAGTGCGCGCGAAGGCAAACACACGAGACTTAAAACTTTACTTAAGCAAACTAATTACTCTGCATGCATTCGATAGGAGAAAATGAAGAACAGTTTAGTGAAGCGAGAGTACTAAATACTAAAAAACCATGACTGAAGTATGATTTGGAAGAACTTCGCTATGAGCTCTTCATATGGAACTAGGTTTGCTTATACATAGCTTTGCCGACCTTTCACATGTTTTACTCGGGCCATGTTTTTCTTCTCAAATATGCAATATTGATGAGAACGCGCTAATCTGATTGTTGTTGTTCGATTTACGACACTGCGCTGACTGTGCTAAATTTGACATGGATATGAAAATGTTTCTATCGTCGATGTGCCGAGAGAGGGCGCTCGTTGTAAAGCGGGACCCACCGCAAACATACTTGGAGACTAACATTTATATTGTTTATACTGATGACGATGTGTGGCGATTTTCTGTTCAATATTTACTAGGGTGACGTTTTGAACTTACGAAGTGGTGTCAGTGCATGTTGCGCTGTCTCGTTCTGTTTTCTGATTAAAATTAGCCTTGGATAGATTGACGAGGTCGTAACGTAAATATATACACAGGCTGGGCTGACTTCAATAAGGCCCCACCAAGAGAGAATTTTGGCCACGTGATAGAATTGCGCCGCCAGTGGCCGTTTATCTCGAAAGTGGGCTATTGAAAGTTGGACAATGGATTATATGTGTATGATGCAGTGCCGTTCTATAATGTCTGGCCTTTTTGACGATTAAAATAAACATACTTACAGTCAACAAACTTAATAAAATAGAACACGCAATATCCAGGGTTCAAACAAGTAGAGTCGCTCGCGCTAAGACACACTGACTGTTCTGAAAAGAACACTACGAAATAGCGTGTAATGGTCAAGGTCCGACAGAGACTAATACCTGGTTCACACAGATTAGAAATACGCCGTTGTAGGGCCAGTGAGAACACCGGTGTTCGCATTGGCTCTACAACGGTGTATTTCGTTTGCGATCACACAACTTTAAAAACGCCGGCGTAATTTTATATTAGGCCTGTGTAGCTAAATCCGTGTTTGAACATATTCGTACCCTATCACTACGGTTATTATTTTCAATTCCTTCCTTGACACTTGACTTCAAAGGTTTTACTTTTTGACGGCACAGTTCTGCGGGTTTATCTCACCCCAATTCCTTGTCTGTTTGTACAATAGTCCTGTAAACCTGGCTAACATAGGAGGTTCCGTGTATCAATCTAATCACCGTCGTTAAATTTACGGCGGTGCTACAACGGCGTAAATGTTACGTGTGAACCAGGTATAAGTTGGAAATGAACAAGCTGTATCATTACAAGCATCACGTAGTATGTAACTATTCATGTTTTGATAAGAAGAAACTACTCAGTTGAAATTGCCTTCGGCAACAATTATGTTCACAGGCAGAGGACGTTACCAGTGAGAGTGGAAATAATATAATTACAGACAAATGAACACAGATAAATCACTAAATGAATTTAAATGGGTTTAATAGTAAACACTCAATGAAGTTGTGTATTGTAAGAAGGAAAGAAAGAATGAGAAAGAAAGACAGTGAAAGATATAAAAAAAAAAGATGTTTATCACCCATACGACTGATTAGACTGCAGTGTGTTTCAGGATGTGGGCAAAACTTGTTGAGAAATCAGAATGGTAGTCAGACGAGTGGTGAATATTTCTCTTTCCAATAATGACACCGTCCACACAATAAAACATTGAACACTTATATTGAGTAACACAACAGTAATGCTTCTTTTTTCCAAGCATACTAACGTACGAAATTATGCTAGCGACAACTATATTGCCCAAATATAAATTCACACAGCCATCTCATTGACCATGAAACCCACGATTATACACGGTTTAAACAATATGCATTATTCCTTGGTTAAAACTTAGAATTATTACAACATTACGTCTATTCCCATCAGCTATGAAGCAGACCACGAGCTTTCTTATCACTGTGCACCGAACTGATATTGTTCAAGAACCATTTCCGTTGTTTGGAATGTGGGATGTAGCATTCTACTTAGCTGACCAGTTTTTAGTTCTATCCTCGGGGGCGGAGCTACGTCACAGACGTTCCACGTTGCTAAGACGCGCACCACTGTACCATGCATTTCTATGGGCTCTGTGCGCGCTGCTGTGCAACGCCGGTGGAGCCGGTGAAAATTCG